CTTAATGTGTTTCTCTAGTCAAAACTTCTTTTTAGCTTTGGATAGAGTAAGAAGTAGGTAACACCCCATTAGGTTTTTTTGTCCCATGGGGGAGACTGCCCTCACTTCCTGTCCCAGAGTCACAATAACAAGTTGGTGAAAATCTTACCAAAGTGAGGGAAATTCCTTCTTAGATGGTTGTCACTGGAACAGGTGTCCCTACTGGAAGATTTGCCCTCATTTCCTGTTCCGATGACAACTGTAAAATATTTAATTTTCTATCATTCTCTGCCCGCTAACACCAGAACAAATAGAGAGGTCCAGTCTTCATACAGACCGTATGATGGGCACAAAATGTGTTTTTTCTGTTGTTTCTTAAATCCAACATTTGCGCCTTTTTGAAGCAGCAAATTTCTGCTCCTATTACTACCATTTGTTCTATACAAGTCATCATGCTACTCCCTTTTTCGCATTATTCAGCAGAAACTAATAATAAGTTTAAAGTTCACAAAACATGACAGTAGTAGGAAGATCTGACACAAGATCACTCGCCAAAGCAAGGGTGGCATAAATATGCAAACTGAGACCGAACTAAAGATGTTTTACTGTCTGGGATCAAATATATATCCTGACAAGTGTCATTTCCTGGGGACATGTAAAGGGCGGGAGCCACATTGTCACTTGAGAAATAAATCCAACCTGAGACCCAGGATCTAACATGGTTCCCGACTGCTTCATGGTTTCCTCTTAAGTACTCTACTACTACATACTACTCTACTACTATTCTTGTACTTCTACTAGTTCCATACTTGAGAAGCTATGGCATGATTACTAGCCTGTAAAAGCACTGAAGTATTTCTGATCCCAAATGTAAACTTGATACCATAAAAAAAAATCTCCAAAAATAAGTAAAAATCTATTTAGTTTGCACGTTATATGTATTCTTTAATATAAATGTAGAGTTAATCAATAAAATCTTAATGACATTTCAAAAGTCATTTTTAAAAGAGAACTATGGCCCAACCTTTTTTGCCAATGTTCTCCTTAGGGTCACAGAAGGACATTTACTAATATCTTGTGACCCAAAACTCAGCATATAGCGGGCTATTGCCCACTATATGCTGATAGCACAGAGACGCGCTGCAGCTGGGAAAGATCCCAACAATATTGCCCAGATCCTGCTTCTCTAGAGGATGACAGTCACCAATCTCTATAGGGACAAGATCGGGAACCAAGAGATCATGGATATATTATCGCACAGTTCTCCATCAATAGAGCCGAGGTGTGATAGTGTCACGCGTCAACTCTAATTATGGGGATGAGTGTATTTCACTCTCTCCATAATTCTCCTTTGATATTTATGGATCTGCACCTTCCATTAAAATACTACCTGGTAATGCTGCTGCTCTTAAAGGGTGACAACCCTCTGTTCCTGCCTCCTATTTGTGCTCCTGCATTGTCACACAGACTAAAAGTTTCAACACACATTACATGGTCCACTGCTGTCACGATCAGGGAACCCCCCTTGAGAAACGCCATGCAGCCATCACCGGAGTGCATGTAGACATGAAGTGGTGGCAGAGAGGCTGCTGAGATGCCACAAATGATACAAAACAGTTGAAAACAAGTATTTTATTTAAAAATGCAATTGTTTAGGATACACAGTGTTTAGCAAGCTAAATGTTATTCAGTTAGGGTTTACATCTACTTAACAGTCATTTGAGTTCAGTTTAGCTAATATAATTATCAGAATTCTGTTTTATATACTAGCCACTGAACAGCTTAGTGCTTCAGACCAAATAAAAAAAGCATTTAAAGAAAGTTTAACTATGAAAATTAAAAAAATAAACCCACGTCAGTACCAATCCAATTTGTAGGAACCAGTTTACATGTGGAAGCTGCTTCTGTTGATGACCTAAGTTCTCTCTGTATTCATGGAGGACATTGTCATCTAAGGTATTCTTTCCTTTAGCAGGCCAATTCATTTATCTCACTTGGTTTTTGCAGAAGCATAACACAGCGATGCTACCACCTACTGGTCAGCATAGGTAATGCATGGCAGTTGTAGCATATTGAGGTGACATAGCTACCTGTGACCTGATGCAGACATTTTGCTAACGGAAGTTCCCATACATTATTCAGTATTGCCATATAACACATTCATTTTCCAATTATCCTGTAATTAAAAGTAAATTATCCCTACTGTAATAGCAGGTGTAGTACACACTACACATTTACCTTGAGCCTGCATGGCACCGTTGGCAGCTCTGTGAAAGCTGTCCCTGACCTTCTTCACCTGAAATCTTGGTTTTACAAGTCTAATTGAATCAATTTTTTATTATTTTATCACTTTCAACAGTAAAGTACAAAATGTACATCCTCTGTCCTCATTCTGATGACCATAAATTGTCTGCTCTTTTAACTGCTACCATCCAGCTAGTAGAAAATGACCTCTTGGAGCAGGTTTGTCACAGGAATCCTTTGCAAGTGAGAACGTTTTGAGAACTTGTAATTTGCTCATATTAAAACCATAAAGAAACATAACAAATAGATCCAAAAGATATACAGTAGATCACAGCATAAGTATTACATGCAGGACCTTCAAGAAAGTCATCACAGCATCAGATTATAGACATAACTCTAAGATATCGTCAAAACCCCAATCATTGGAGTTAGAAGGCACCTGCTTCATCATCCTCTAACCAATCATGCAGTAGCACAGCAAACTAGTTACCACAAGGTGCCCAATTAATTTTTGAATCTGGCCATGGTCCAAGGCATCCCAGGAAAACACTAGGAGATCCCCATCTTCCCTCTGACTTGGTGCTTTTGCTCTAGCCTGGCATTCTACAACACAACAGGGTACCTGCCTGTTGGACAATAAGCGACCTGTACTTGTGGAATGCCAAGGGGTTGGCCAAAGATCAGAGCTGGAGCAAAGTAATGACTTCCAAGAAATGTTTGCTTAGGTTTAAAAGTTTTCCTATATCCACACAAGAAGCTTTGAACAGGAATAAAGTCTGTGAAGGAACCTTATGATGTGTGCTTTGCTGGCTGGGTGTCTGTCAGACTTGTATGAGCATGAGACAAGTTCACTTTAAACCATAAAAGTTCCCCGGGCAAGATGAAAAGATCATGCAAAGCAACTGCAATGTAAATGGCGTCCTAGTGCCAGTGTGCATTATTATAATTATACAGGATTTACATAGCGCCAACAGTTTGTGCACCTCTTTACAATATAAGGTTGCCCACACACCTTACGATAATCGCGGGAAATTCCGCGATCGTATGATTATCGTAAGGTGTGTGGACAGGGCAGCCATCAGGGGGGTACGGCCGATACTCATGTAAGGGCCGGGGCGGCCCCCCAGGCTGCCCGGGCCCCTTACATGAGTATCGGCCGTAGCCCCCTGATGGCTGCCCTGTGTGTGGAAGCCGTGCGACCTCTACTACTGTACAGTCGCACGACTTTTAACTTACGAACATGTTCGAAAACCCGCCGAGCATCGTACGATGTTCGGCGGGTGTGTAGCATGTTCGTAAGATAAAAGCCGGATGGGTCATCGGAAGCACGATCTGCCTGTCCAAGATAGGCAGATCGTATGTTTTTTTAATTACCTTACAACCATCGCAAGACAAAAGTCTTGCGATGGTTGTAAGGTGTGTGCCCAGCATTAGGAAGACATTACAGTTACAATACAAGTCAAGACAAGACAAGATGGTAAGGAAGGCCCTGCCCATGAGGGCTTACAATCTAAAAGGGAGAGGCAAGTGATACATGAGGAGGTAGCTGGGGAAGAATTGTCTGAGCATTATTTCTTTTGGGCAATACATCCACATTTATAAAATGCCTACTGTGTTATATAACAGGTCTACTTGAGGCACTCTGTATACTATGTTATGCATAAAGTGAATAGGGGATAATGGGACTTTTATAGCACTAAGGCAGGTGAATTCCCCAGATCTTAAGAATCTTAAGGTTGATATATGAAACCCAAGCAAAGAAAATTGAGTATTGCCCATAGTGTAAAAATCAGATTCCTTTTTTTATTTTCCCATCCAAACCTTTAATAGTCACTATCACAATGGCACTATTAGCCCTTGCCCTAGGGTTCATAAATCACACCCCACATCACTGCAGATAGAAGGACTTTGAACATTTCAGCACATTGTTGACGAATGGGTTAGACTGACATACTATATTATTACTGCATTCAGAAAACCCAAAAGACTATTTTCCGGGTAGTTCCTGTAAATCATGAACACAGTAGTATTTTTATTTTCAACTAAGCAATAAGGAATAAAGCTATTACAAAGTACAACTGGAGTGCACAATATCTGTATGGAGCTGAATGAATTTACATTTATAGACACTGTAAATATCATTTTCGATATGGAGTATGGCTGTAGGCAAGTCTTGTCACTTACCCTTTGTCTATGTACCTATTTATTTATTAAAGGGAACACACAATCCTTTTAGTTTATTCAAATGTACATGTAAAAGAGATTAGCTCACTGCAAATGATATTGTCAACGTGTGTAAATGTTTCAAAAATCTAGTTCCAATATATTATTTATTATAATGATATATATACAATGGGCAGCCATATTTGCTCATTACATAAGCAGAATTTGCTTCCGACTCTGCAGTGTTCTACAATGGTTGTGTCTTCTTTGTCCAATGCAATTCTATAAGTCAGCCAACTCACTAAAAACAATGCACACCCTATATGGCCGATATCTTTTCTTAACAGCTACCGTAGTAAGCAGGAAGCAGTAATAGCAATTCAGTACTGAGAGCTCCCTCTAGTGGCTAGTCAACAAATATCTACATTTCAAGTAATGAGAAAAATATGAACAAGACATCTTGTAATATTGTTAAAGCCACTTTCCAGACTTCCAGTAAGCACTGTTCATTGTAGCACTGCAGTTATTGAAGTACACATTCATGATCCTTGTTCTGTACATATAGTGATAATGATAATTTACAAATCTTTACAGACAGTAGATACTGTTCCTAATTAATTAGCCCAGGCAGCCAACATCTGCATGTCATCCTCATCCTCCACCCTCTTCCGTGATGTTGCTGTAGACAAAACAAAACAAAGTCAATTCATGATAAACCTGTGTTGTGTGACTGACAGATCATCTCAGAGCCTCTTGGACAACAATAAATGGCTTCCCACATGATTTGTGGAAAACAAGCAGAGAACTATCCAATTCCCTGATTTAAATCTACACCCTCTCCAGATATTATTACTGTTCCTGATTTTATCTGCGCATCAAAGCAGAGTTTTACCTTCATTACACTGATTATGTATTATCTGATGTACAGTGAGAGGGACAGGAAGCTGCAAAGCTGAAATATGAAATAGTGGTGTCACCTGCCTGGCTGTGCAGTGTGGAAAGACGTGTTATTCATTAGACTAGTTACACAGAATTACAAATCCTATGGCAGGTAACACAGTTCACAAACATGGCAACACTGCCCTTTAGATTATTGCATGGACTCCTGTAGACATGTGCGATTCGTTTAGTTCCGAAACGAAAATTCGGATGTATCCGAATTACAGATATAACGAATGCAAACGAATCCGAATTTCCGTTTCCGAAATTCATTAGCGGTAGTTCGTTCGACCGGTCGTTTCTTATTCGTTTCGTTCATTCGTTGCAGCAAAGTTGCTGCAAACGAACAAACGGATCGAATGAAACGAATAAGAAACGAAAACGAAACGAACGTTCAAACGAACTACCGCTAACGAATTCCGTCCGAATCCGAATTGACTTTCACACCCGAATCCCAAAAAACGAAATACACAAAATACGGAATCAAAAATGTTTTTTGCCAGTGCACACGTCTAGAGTTCTGCTTTAATTGTCTGATGCAAGGGGGGAGGAGGGGTCAAAATATGCGTTGGTAATATACATTTGCCTCTTTATATATATCTCGTAAAGCCAGGTCTAGATATTGGGGTTAAATTGTGGGCACCGTATCATAATAAGGACAAAGGTGACTTGGAGAGGGTTCAAAGGCGGGCTACTAAATCAACCAAAGGGACTGAAAATCTTAGTGATAAAAAAGACTATTTGAGCAATATTTCTTTCCAGAGGTTTCATCCAATTGGCCTTGGAAGATCAAGAGGTATTTATTTTCTTCCTATGTGGACTCATTGACAAAAGTTGTCCAGAGTGTTTTGTTTTTCATTCCTCTGGACCACTATGCCAGGAGATGTGATTGAGAGGATGATGAGGCGGCTAAAGCTGGCCATACATGTAAAGATTTCAGCAGGATGAATGAGAGAAATCACTCGATTCCCTCATTCACATTAAACAGCGCAGATGGACAGCTATTGTATTCGACAGTCGAGATCTGCAGCTGTCAGATTGTTCACCAAGCAGCTGCAAGTCACTGTTTGGCCAACTTTTTGCCGCCCTGTTTACTCTGATTTGTTATTTGAAGTTTGTTGAGCCAGGTAGTGTTGGCAAGGTCACCCATGGTCATGTATGGCTAGCTATTGCCGCTCTAATAGCCACAGGAGGTGTGTGGCTGTGGAAGCTCAGGTGCCAAAATCTTATAAATGGAGTCCTCAGCAGATGCAAGGAACCAGTACATTATTCAATCCACTGGCATCATTTTATTATTGTGAGTTGAATGGCCACATAGGTTGCATAGATTTATATACAGGTGAAACTCGAATAATTAGAATATCGTGCAAAAGTAATTGTTGTAAGTGCTGCAAAAGTTAACTGTAACATAGACAATGATACAGCATTGATCATAGATCAGTGTAAGAAAAGCCCTGCTGTCACACACTAACATCTCCTCACTGTAGATACTTTAAATTATTTTAAACCACTCGGAAATGTAAAAATAATAAGCAGGTGAAACCTATGTAGTCTTATAGCTCTTGACTGACTTCAAGCTTATGAGAAATGTGCTTGTGAGAAGGCTTATGATATGTGCTTATAGACCAGTATTTCTGAGTTCAGAATGGATTGGCAAAGGTTGTTCGAAGCAACATTATAACATATGGAGGCATAAGGGGCCCATGAAGCACTGCTTGCTGATCACTAAATAACATGAATATTCTCAGACAGTCAGAAACCGTTATACCTGAACGGGCAGGAAGCTTGTGAGACGGCACACTAGGCATTGTGACACTGGCCATGTGTCTGTCGAGATCTTCTTGTTCCAGCTCTTCTAATTCTGCCAATAACTCATCCTGAAAGAATAACAGATGTCCAGTGAAACACTCTACCACATACACATAGCAAATATAATATGCTGATGCAACAATCAGTATAACAGGATACTGGATATTGTGAACAATGTATAATGTTTACTACTTACCTCATCAAATTCTTCACCAATACCTATTGGTCGGGAAATAGCATCGGAAATTTCTTGTGCAACATCTTGCTGCTCATGAATATCCTGCATCAGGTCGTCGATCTTATCGAGATCCCTAGAAATAGAAAAAAGTATATTGTCAAGTGATAATAACCAGTAAGAAAACATCAATTGGAGGACAACCATTTGGAGATACAATGTTTCCAGACCAGAGAAGTTGTGTGGAAATCTCCCATTAGACATGTCTGTGAAGGTTCTCATTCATCCAGATCATTGTATATCTGTAAAAAATACATCAAGGCAACTGGACTTGCTGTGTAAATGAATTCCAGTTGCCTTCATTTATCTGTTACAGATACCCCTCTTATACAGTTGTCACAGAACAGGTTTCCCACTACCTTGGTGCATGTGCAATAAAGAAGAATTACAGGCAGAATGAGGTTAAAGCGGACCTGTACACTACAAAAATCAAATTCTACCAATGCATCCCTCTATGTATGATGATTTATAATAACATAGATATGTCAGGTGTACAATGCTGTGATTGTGAAATACTTACACCTGCAGAGCATTCACTTCCTGCTTTAAAAGGGCAAAATGGCTTCAGTTTGCCAACACAATGCACACTGGGATTGCCTTGTCATCAGCAGAGCATTGCTGGGAAATCTCATCTGTAATCTCAGGGAAAGGCATTTTCCTCCCCTGAGATGATGTGCATGATCACATGTCTAGTCACATGTGCCAGAAATCCAGGAAGTAATAGGAGAGCTAGTAATCTGCCCATAGTAAACATGACCACTGTCAGAAGACTGGGAAAGAAAAGAGAGATAAGCTATGCAGGGAATACAAAGCCGGCAATTATCTAGAAGTATGTGTTTGTAGAATGTCATTACTAAACATTTCTAAGATGTGTTTGTTGTTGTTTTAAAGATATGGGTAAAGTTCCGCTTTAACCCTTGCAGTGGAGCTAACCCTGCACTGTAAGAGTCCCTGCAGTCTCTCTCCCTCCGCTGCAGCGATGGAATGTCCCTCGAGGTCCTCACGTCTAATACAAGAGAGGCTGCAGGGACCAGTCTAGCAGCCAAGCAGGACTGAGGTTTGGGTGAGTATATATTTTTTTATTTTAGACCCTTGACAAAAATGAGCACTAAACCCTTGTAGTGCAGGGGTAGCCCCACTGCAAGGGTTAGGTTTTATTCTGCCCGGAATTCTTCTTTAATGCAATGCATACTTTGGTCCCTGTGGTAAAATTAAGTCAAGACAGAACTTAGGGTAAGGTCTCGTTCACACCTAGGCGTATTGCATATGCGCGTCTGTCGCACATTTTTTTACCGCGATCCGCGGTAAAAAAGTTGCGCGTTTCCGAAGGCTACTTGGCTGTATCCCAATGGAAACGCGCAACAAAACGTCCCAAAGTAGTACCTGTACCTTTTCAGGCGTGGGCCATTTTGTAGCACGTTAGGGACGGGCGGAAATACGCCAAGGTGGGAACGAGACCATTGAATACAATGGGATTTATATTTTTGAGCGTTTTGTAGAGCGTTCGTCGAGCGTAGAACGCGCTACAAAACGTTCAGGTGTGAACGAGGGCTTAGGTTTACGGCATTGCACTTGCTAATGCAGTAAATACGAATAACATCAAGGACATCCTATGTATTTGGTGTGACCTTTGGATTAATATAGAGAGGGTTTCTTTTTTGCTCTCATCACAGGTTTCCTTTAGCAGAAAGAGTCCAGGGACAAGCATCTCTCTGGATCCGCAGGCAATCATTCCATGTATGATTACTTGAGGATAGCCATGGACAGTCTGTCATAATCGGCTGCGTCTGTACAGACACAGCTGGAATTCCTGCCACACGAATGCACAGGAATTCCCTGCTGCACCTTTGATCATCATGTGCATGAGGCCTTTGAAATGTCTGCCATAAGTTTAGCCTTCAACAGGGTGAAGTGTAGGCACAGCAGCTGCTAACACAATGAAGTCCTTTGTGTGGGCAGGACGTCACAATCAACTTTCTACTATTGATAGATTGTGCTTAGGATGTAGTCTGACATCCCTCCCTGAGCCCATTGACTGCTGGCTGCCGCTGAAAAGTTAAGAATTCCTTCCTGAGCTCTCAGTATCAGGAGCAGAAGTCCAGGAGCTGAATCAATCAGGGCTTATTGCTTGGCGATGGTTGTTATTAACTTAAGCCCGCTGGGGCCGCCATCACTCAGCATGTTATCCACTGTTCTCCAAAGATGATTAAAGGAAAACGGCGGGACGTTTGTTGGGCACCAAGCCTAGATCAGGGGTATCCAAACATTGACACAGCTTCTGTTTTGGAACTACAAGTCCCATAAAGCTTTGCAAGACTCTGACAGCCACAGGCAAGACAGGATTTGTAGTTTATATACAACACTGTGCATGACTGCACATCTGACATCGATCAGTAAGATTCAAATTAGGATCTGGGCACTCAGCTAAATATATGTTTGTATCTTGACCTGCCAGGTTGTATTTGTGAACTATAGACCTTATGCTTATGATTCAGCTTGTTCTCAGCAACTGTCACTCGTCTCATCCTTAGAATCTGATTCTAGTTATGTCTTGCACTACTATTAGTTTATGCCCTCTGCCAGCCCTGACCCCCCCCTGTTTTGTCCCTGTCTCTGCTTTACAATTTGGTACCTTGTTCTGGTCCAGCCACAGGTGTTGCCCTAAACCAGGGGTAGGCAACCATGGCATTATGGCTGTTGTGGAACTACAGCTCCCATGAGGTATTGCAAGACTGACAGACACAGGGATGACTCCCAGGCAGGAGCATGATGGGATCTGTAGCCGCACCGCAGCTGAAGTGCCATGGTTGCCTACACCTGCCTTAGACAATTCCAGGAGTCGCACTCTAGTATCTGTCTGCAGTGCAGCAAACTGCACTACTAGAGGCTTTGGCAAAGAATCCTAAAATTTACAGTCATCATGGCAGCAAGAGGTGAGGGGAAATCTTCCATATGTTCTGGTAACAACTGTCTACGATGGGAACCTGAATGTGGTATTAACCCTTTTCTATTCTAGTTTTGACTAAATTTACACTTTAAACACTTAATCAGCTTTAAATAATATTTACAATATTATTTATGTTTAAGGTGCATTTTAATCAAAATGAATTCATTTTTCAAGAAACACCTTATTTCCAAAGGTTTTTTGTGCCCCTGGCAACACTGTGATTCTGATTACAAGGGCTTAAAGGAATCCTGCCAACATAGGAATATGGGAACTCTCATTATTATTATTATTCATGATGTATATAGCGCTGTATATAGCGCTGTTGAACTCTATGATCGAGGAACAAATGTATTATATATTGCGGTAACAAGTGGTAAAACCATGGTGCTTTGTGATGTCATTCATTTTAAATGGCACCCCAATGCACTATTACAGTCGCACATAGCATAATGCACCACAACACAACTTGTGTTATGGATCACTGCATTAAAAATGGGTCATGTAAAGCAGTTAAAGTGGACCAAAACATTTGAACATCTGCAATCCTTTAGGGAACTTCTAGAAATGTTAACTGTGCCTAAATAGAACCTTGAAATACCTACCTTTTTCCTTGAATTCCTCCTGAAAAATAGAAGCGCACTTTCAGGCATGTGATGGTACCTAGGCTTGCCTTTTCTGTAGCTGTAAATCTGGAGTGTGAACTCATCTAAGACACTGCTGCCTCTTACTGCTAATCTCATGAGATCTGAAGTGAGATGTGATGGGGTCGCTACTGTGCTGCTCACTGTTCTCCTTGCTGGAGGGCAAGCTGTACCCAAGGCCCTGCAGTACAAGGATCTCCCTGCTCCATTCATTCTGTGGATCTGTGCTTTCTCCTCTCTTTCATCCTGGCTAGGAATGTAAATAGGAAAAGTTTCTATATTCTAAAACTTAAAAGTAGAAGTTACCTTTAAATTGATCAGAGGAAGAAAGTAGCAGGTTGCCTCACAGGAACCAGCTTCCTTTACATCACACCTAATTCTATGGTTTCCTTTATTTACCTTTTCTGACAACAATCTATATTAAATAGAAGAGATAAATAGATATTTTGTACTTGCTGTGAGCTTTGTGCAATGGTACCTGCAGGGTGCAGGCTGATCAAAAGAAGCTGCATAGAAATTAGGAGGTATTTGATTGTAGGAAGCCCGGATATAAATATGTAGTGGAAGTGTTACAGATAGCACACAATAAACAGAACATAATTGCAGAACTAGTCTGAATTGACTGCGGATACAAGCTAGGAATTTTCTTTTCTAAAATCGGCTGTGTAGACCCAACAGAGTTATTGAATATCATAGCTACAAAAGGCATTGTTATTCCTTCAGTGGAGTGAATTGAGCTCTTGTAAGATTTCCTTTTACATCAAGTTAATGTCAGGATACAAGCAGGCAGCATGTCCTGCCTATTATTTCTTCCATGGATTAATTTACAACGCGTTACTTTGTTATGTATAAACTGTCTAGACATGTGCGCCTTAATCTTATAGAAAAAAACATATTTATCGCCATCTACTGAAATAATGTGTCTATTAAATAGTTATTCAGTCAAGCTGCAATAATACAATAACCTCAGAAAATTATAGAAAAATAAAATTAATTTATGTTTAAATTCTAATTTTCATGTACGACTAATTTTTGGGATGACTTCAGAAGTGAAAAAATGAGCTGTATCTCTCCCCTACCCCCATACTCTCCTCCAGGTGGGGATATATCTGCCAGTCTTCTGCAGTCTAGAGATCAACCTTCCCTCTTTTTGCTGGGAAGGAAGAATTGACTTAGGCTGGCAATATTCTGATCAAATTTTCACATATTCCTGCTGAATTGGCCAAAATTTTAACCATGGGTGGTCCTGCTGGTC